AAATAGGCATTTTCCATAGTTTGCCATTGAAACGGAAAAGCCCTAAAAACCTATGTATTTTTGCATCCAGAATATATAAAGAACTTTCAAAACTCAATAAGAAAACAATCGATGAAAAAAACGGGCAAAAGACTTGAACATATTTCACCAAATAAGAAATAGAGATGGTAAAATGATCACATGAAAAGATGCTCAGTCATGGACTTCAAATTAAAGCCACAATGATATACTGTACACGTATTAGAATGGTGAACCTCAAAGCAAATAAGCGAACAGCTGACAATACCAAGTGCTGGTGAGGATGTGGAGCAGCTCTCACTGTTGATGGAAATGCAAGATGGCAGACACTTTGGAAGGCAGCTTTGCAGTCTCATATAAAGGTAAACATATTTACTATATGACCCCACAATTCTGCTCCTAGATATTTACCCAAGAGAAATGAAAGCTCATGTCCACACAAGTTGTTATAGTGACTTTATTTGTAATCTCTCCAAACTGGAAAGAACTCAAATGTTGGGGCATAAACTGTGCTATATCCATGCAATGGAATACTACTCAGCGATGAAAAGGAACTAACTACCAAGGTACCCAACAACTCGGATGAATCTCCAGTGCGTTATACTGAAAGAAGCCAGACTCAAATGGCTATGAGCTGTGTGATTACATGCACGTGGAAATCTATTAACAGAAAAAGCAAACCATAAGAACAGAGAGCAGAGAGTGGATCCCAGGGGCTGGAGGGGAGAGGGGAGGGGATTGACGACAAAGGGAAACAAGAACTTTGGGGTGCTGTAAATATTCTGTACATCGATTGCAGTGGTGGTGGTTACACAGCTATATATTTTTGTCAAAACTCACACAGCAGTGTTTCTAAAAAGGGTGAATTTTACTGTATATAACAAACTCATTAAAGCTGATGTAAAACATTGTTTATTTTTCCACTGATACAGTAAATAGAGAAAGCTCTTCTAAGAGCTTTAAATATGCATTTCTATGGCTTCTTTGCCATAGCAATAGGCCATAAAAGCTAACAAAAGTGAATTTGCTTTTATATTTTAGGGCAAGACGTTTTATTGCCTCTGCCTAAATGAAGGCAACCTATAAGAGTCTCCTTGTAAGAATGTAGTTTTTCTCCTGACTCTGAAGTCTGTGCAGCCGTTGTTTCCTGGGTGACTTCTGCTCGTGAGAGACTGAGAGCCTGGGTTACGGTGAAAGCTTTTACTAAACTCTGGTCCCTTCCTGAAGGGGCTCAGGCCTATCATGCCACTCCTCTGAGCTGCCGGCCAATTTATTATTCTTCTCAGACTTGGAAAGGCCCAGGAACATGAAGAGAAAAAAAACATGTAAACTTTCAACCTACACATCCAGTAGTCTTCATTCACTCTCCCCAAATGTTTGTCTAGGAGAGAAAGGCCCACCAGTGCCTATTTTTTTTTCTTTTTTCTTTTTCTTTTTTTTTTTTTGAGACAGAATCTCACTCTGTTGCCCAGGCTAGAGTGCCATGGCATCAACTTAGCTCACAGCAACCTCAAACTCTTGGGCTCAAGAGATCCTTTTGCCTCAGCCTCCCGAGTAGCTGGGACTACAGGCACACGCCACCATGCCCGGCTAATTTTTTTTCCTATATATTTTTAGTTGGCCAATTAATTTCTTTCTGTTTTTTTTAGTAGAGACGGGGGTCTCGCTCTTGCTCAGGCTGGTTTTGAACTCTTGATCTTGAGCGATCCACCCACCTTGGCCTCCCAGAGTGCTAGAATTACAGGCCTGAGCCACCGCGCCCAGCCAGTATCCATTTTAACTGTCGTCTTTCGAGCCAGTACAACGTGAAGCTATATTGCATAAGTCCACTTGCCTCGTGTGGCAAACGTGCGCTCCTTCAACCTAGTTTCAAAGAGTGGGAAGGTGTCTGAGGTGGTGTCAGGGCTCCGTTACAGTTACGTGGTCCGCCTCTGGAAGGGAACTGCGACGTCTTCTGTGCCCTGGAATGGACAGGTGTCAGAGACAGAGAAGGAAAGTGGTGTGGAACAGTTGGATGTTGACTACCGGTATCTTCTAGAAACTCTGCTGGTGTTTGGTTGTACCTCATTCCATGTCCTCCTCACACCAGCCCTATAAACCGCTATTCTTATCTTCAGTTTACACACGTGGAAAATAAGGCTAAAAGGCAGCTGCACAAAGTAAGTCCATAAGTGGCAAGGCTGAGTCGTGAGCCAGGTCTAACTGCAAAACTTCTGCATGTCTATCACGTAGAGAGAGAGAGTACCTTCACCTGCTCCTTGGCTAGCACAGAGTTACTGTGAGAGGCCTATAATTTGTGATTTTAACGCTTATGCTACTAGTAATCTTATTCTTAAAGATTTTTTTCCAAGAGACGGGGTCTCGTTACATTGCCCGGGCTGGCCTGGAATTCCTAAGCGATCCTCCCACCTCAGTCTCTCGAGTAGCTGGGATGACAGGTGCAAGACATCAAAGGTTCTTTTGGTGAGTTCCAACCTCATCCTGGGGTCAGGCTAACTGGAGGAAGTAGGGCGGTAGAAAGAGAGAAGATCAGGCTCGCAAGAGTCATGAGAAGCCATGGCGGAGTGGGTCGGGAAAGGCACAGTCACGTAGGTGTCCCTGCCCACGTGGAAATTCATTCTGTGCTCCTCCTCGCTCAAACCTTGGGGGACACAGGGTTGTTTGGCCAAGGGAGGCAGCTCCTTAGCGGGGCTGCTGTGGGTGTGCCCCACCCCCTCGCCCCTCTAGGCGTGGCTTCAGTGATGCCACCTGGGCCTGCCTGTGCCCATTGTCAGCTCCCACCTCTTCTCTAGCAAGGCTTTACGGGCGTCCTCAAACTACGGCCCGCGGGCCACATGCGGGTGTTTTTTGGCCGTTTGTTTTTTTACTTCAAAATCAGATATGTGCAGTGTGCATAGGAATTTGTTTATAGTTTTTTTTTTTTTTTAAACTATAGTCCGGCCCTCCAACGGTCTGAGGGACAGTGAACTAGCCCCGTTTAAAAACTTTGAGGACCCCTGCAGCAGTTGCAAGTGAGTCCGTTCACCAGCACAGCCATGGGGGTCCGGAAGTCCACGGACTGCTCCTCCCTGGCAGCCTCCTCTGGCGCCTGGAGCAGCGAGTGCAGCGTCCGGACTCCCAGCTGCCATCACCTCCTTTCCCAGGGTGCTCAGGGCCAAGCTTTAAAAACACGCTAACTAAAAATGACAACTCATCAACGGAGCATTTCGAGCTTTGAAAGTTTTGTCCCCTCTCCCCAAAGGGGGTTGTACATCTTATGTCCAGAGCACCCCATAGCGCCCCAAAGCAGACAGACAAGGGATGTGATATGCCATCAGAGACTGTCAAAGAGCAGACATTTCAAAACCATGTTTCTTCCACCAAAGACAATGCCGTTGCTCAGGTTCACCCTTTTGCCCAGTACATAATCATAAAAAGCTCGCTGAATCAGGGTAAAGGGTGAACACTAGATCTTTTATCTGTTTATGTAACAGGTTCCTCTGCTCAAGGTATCTCGCCAGTTTCCTTGATTTTACAAGTAGTCAATTTTTTTGTACCAAAGGAATACAGAAGTAGTAGATTCAATTTCCAAATCATCTATATTTGGCTTTGGAAGGAATTTTGACACAGCACTTAAACAGGAACATGGGTGTCTCCCCACTGCAGGACTCCATGGCGCTGTGCACCAAAGAAACTCTGTACCCAGAGGAGCCACTCACTTGTTAGGGGCTGGGGAATGTTCCACTTTTGTCAGTGCCCCTGTGGCAAACACCCGGCGAAAAGGCCCCCATTCTTCCCCTCCCTGTGTCCACTCTGCAACTCTTCCCATGGAGGGGGTCTCTTTCCCCTCCCCTTGAATCTGGACTGGCCTTGTGACCTCCTTTGGCCCACAGAATGTGGCAGAAGTGACAGTGTGCTAGTCCACTCCTAGGCCTCAAGACGTCTGCTTGTTCTCTCAAGACCCTGACTCCACCATGAGAACAAGCCTGGCCGGCTGGCTGCAAAGATGGGGACCACGTGGCATGAGCTCGGGCTGGCCCAATCAGCCTGCTCCCTGCAAACGGCGAGCAAGCTTGGTCCAGCAGGGCCCAGGCCTGAAGAACCACCCAAGTGGATCCAACCCACTTAACTGTGAGCTAAATAGATGGTGGTTATTTTAAGCCACTACGTCTCCGGTGCCACTAAGTTTGTCATACAGCAAGAATCCCCCTTCCCCAGCCAAATGAAGATTCATCACATCAAACTGCTCTTTGCATTTGCAGGTAGAGAGAGAGAAATTCATTCTTCCTTCTTGTGGTAGCCGAGTAAAATGTGAGCAGGAAACGTTGCATTTCCCATTTGGCTCTTTCACTGGGCATCCAGGCTGTATTTAAAGAACTTTCTTATGAGATCCACAGCAGATATATCATCAAAGCAAGTATTTTCTGTCCCAACTCTGTTGTCAAGGAACTACCACTAAGATATAACAAAACCAACCAACCTTTGACACCACAGCACACTATAAAGATCAGAAATAAGTTGGATCATGATTTTACAATGAGCCTTGTTTTAACAAACCATGAAAAAAAAATTTTTATGGTCAAATATAAGTTTAATCTCTTTATAATTTCCCCCAAATAATCTTCATTATTGCCTTCATTTTGTTTACATTTGTCACAAACATCTCTGTAATACACAGACACAAACTTATATTCACTATACATTTCCTATCATTTAGTTGCCTTTGGATCAATACAGAATTAGTAGGGATCAGTGTGGGAAAGAATATTACCTTTTTCTGAATTAGATTCTTACAGCACCTTTGATTGAAGGAGCTCAAGGCACTTCAATATTCACTGTAGCATCCTTTTGATGTCTCTGGGTAGGGAAACTATTATAAATTATCACTATTGCCTTTTTATGAAAGGCAAAATGAAAGCACAGGAAGGTGAAGTAGTCTGACAGTTGCAGTAGAAACTTGGGTTTTTAGCTCAGCATTCCACTTTGTGAACTGTAACTTTGTCTAATATATTCCATATCAGAAGGGATAATAGCTTCTTACAGTTTTATAACATCTCTGTGGATGGATGTTAACTAAAAGGGCAGAACAAACGGTAAATTCCCACCAGTGGATCAACCTGGCAGTGCAGTAATTTCCTGCAGTTCTTTATGTCAGCTAAGGGGTATCATAAATAACACAGCCGTCCTCTGCTTCTCCATTAAAAATTGTAATCAGCTGCCACCATCCCAGCATTTCCAGGAGAACTGCAACCAGGAGGGAGAAACCAGTGACTGATGATGGTCATTCTCTTCAGCTGGGCATCTGTGGCTAATAAAGTCTGGACAATGACCAGTATTAGTGCTCTTCTAACCTACCAGATGTGCAGGATTAACTTTAATTTGCTTATGTGTTTTAACTTTTCTCCAATATTTGAGAACAGTGTGCATTGAGAACAATGAGCATTGAGAACGGTAGCATTGGCGCGTTGGCTCACTGAGCACAGTAGATAAACCAACCCAGTTGACTCCTTTCAATCTGACTCATACTGTTTCCTCACAATAGGGCTGATGCCAAGAGAAAAGCAATTATTCTAAAGACTAAGTTTCTTATATTCTTAAAATGAGGATTTGGTTTTTAATTTAAATGCACTGGAAAATAGTAGGAATGCTTTCCACTTCTACAAGGCTAAGTTATAGATGCACAATGATTTAGGGAGAAAGGAGGACCCGTTTACACACATTCTTAGCTAGGAAAAGAAAATGCAAATCAAAATTTCAACTTTATCCTTTCTTTCTTGAATTTCCCTGGCACCTCCTTTCCACTGTGTGTGCAAGCTAGCCCTGTGTCCTGTTTCCTACATCTTTTCCAGACACCAAACTGCAGCAACTTGGATTTTTAGAGATTTAGTTACTAAGCACCTGATTGCCTCTGCTATCATGGATAAATAAGCCACCCTGGGAACAAGGTCACACATTGAATAGTTTTGCTAAAGGATTGACACAAACTTAAAAACATCAGGGAGAGCAATGGGATTTCCCTCTGTCTTTCTCTTAGGAAAATGAGAACATAGAACATTTTTCAGAAAAATAAAAGCCCCCTGCACCTTGATCTGGCTTCATATTTCTAGCCTTTTCCCAAAAGTGGTTAGTACAGACACCCCTGAGAAAGCCATCTCAAAACACTGTGCGAAGGGGCACAAATATATAAAGGAGGGTTTTCAAGAAAACGCTTAAATAGCTTAAAAAAAAGGTGAGAAAAAAGTATCAAAAATGTATGAAAGTGAAATACGAGAATATAGGAGGAAAAATATAGATCTCAATAGTACAGGACAGCCCTAAAAACAGATCCCATAAGGGACATTTTGCTGATGGAGGGGAGAGGAGAAAATCCCTAAAAGAGAGTGAAGGGTGGGCGGCCAGAGGGAGCCCGTGCACCTGTGGTCAGTGGGTACGTGTATGTGGACAGCAGTGAGCAGACGGGACAATTTGACTCTTGGGACAGCCACTGTCTCCCTGAAGAGCAAGGTGGACGGAACGTCAGGGAATTTTCCATAAATGTACCGATCCTTGGTGAGTATCGGGAGGGACGGGCGCAGCGGTGGGGACCGACTCAGGGGCAGCTCCTGGCTGCGGGCGCAGGTATGTCCCGCGCGTCCAGGTGGGTGGCTCCGGGGCCGCGGGGACCCCGACGTCGCGGGCGCTCAGGCCTCCGCCCCGCCCTGCTCCTGCACGGGCCGCGACGCCTTCTCGGGGTCGCCCAGCTTGTCGGGGCCGGCGCACGTGTCCGGGAAGCGCGGGCCGTTGCCTGCGAAGGAGTCGCGGCGCGCCAGGGTCTCCTCCTGCACCGGGCGGCCCACCGGCTCCGCCGCGCCCGCGCCCGCCGCGCCCTCCTGCGACGTCTGGCTGACGTAGACCACGATGATGTCGCCCTTGAAGTTCATCACTTGCCCGCTGGAAATGAACGTGGAGTTGCTGTTTCCAGTCACGTTTCCTGCGGGGCAGGGGGAGAGAGCACGGAGAGGTGAGTCAGCGGCCGCGGGCGGGCGGGGACGCGGTCTCGTGAGAGGAAAGTTCCCCCGGTGGGGGGGCTCCTCGAACCGGCGACCCCGCGGCGGCGTCCCCCGAGGTACTGGGCAGCTCTGGCGTCCCTTCCGGGAACTGCACTGGTCGCCTGGCCAGGCCAGACTGAGGCAGGAAGCAGAGAGGAGAGGGGAGACAGGAGACACGCAGCCAGCCCGGGCCAGACCGGCAGGAGGGCGCAGCCGGGACTGCCCGCGCACAGACAAGACCCGGATGCTACAGAAGTGCCATCGGCGTGCGCATGCGGCAGCCACCGCCGCCGAGGTCACCAAACCCACCCGAGCCGCCCTCCTCTCAGGCTGGACTCACATCTGAGGCCTCCGCCAGCCTGCCTGCCTCCCACCTGCCATGGAGGTCCCCATCATGGGGCCGAGTGGGCTCAGTGTGTTAGCATAGGTTAATATAATAAATTTCCTTAACATTTAAAAAATTTTACTCCTGGAAATAAAGGGATTCACAAAACTAAAATGGAAAAAAAAAAAAATCTTGTAAATCACTCTTCCTTTCTGAACCCTCAAGGGTGTTTTGTCCCTGAGGGGCATCTAACAACATTCTTTGTGGGCGATTAGATGTAGCTAGTCTTTAATTAACGGGCCTTTTGAAAAACGAATAGAAAGTTCCACAAATGTTAGGAAAGGTAATGCTTCCTATCTCTTATTATGCTTCCATTTTAAAGACTAATGCTCCAGAGATTTCTCATGCAAAAGAAAAGAAAAGAAAAGAAGCCACAAACCAAGCAGATCTAGGAACTTCCCAACACTCCACATCACAAACAGAACCTTTTAGTCCGACCAAGGGACACGAGCATCAGAACACCCCCTCACTATTTACTTTCCTTACCTTTTTTCTTCTCTGTAGTGACTCGGCGTAATAGTAATTTACACAAATAAAATGCGGCTTCTGTTACCACTCTACATGAAGAGATTTTCCCCACATTTGGAAGGCAGGTTTTGGACGGTCTGACTAAAATACCAATAGGCACTCAGGAAATTCCTTTCAGGAGCTTCCCCCCACCCACAGGGTACCTGCAGAGAAGCCAAAGCCGAGGCTCAGGGAAAAGTCCACGGAAACACAGGGATTTCAAGTGTGAGCAACAAATGAAAAATCACAAAGGGAGGTTTGGGACTCCTGCTGTTTCTCCCATAGGCAGTTGTATGGGGTGTACTCCAAGATGGACAGTGGCAGGGATTTATGTTCCTAATAACCCCCAATCAACATGAGGGAGGCTGGTAATTCCAATTAGCAACTAGCCACCATGTTCTCCAAGCCTCTAAAATACACCAACAGGTGCTCCTAACATACAGCGTTCGCTAAGCTCGCTCTTGAGTACATCTGTGCCTTTCTGTTCCCACCAGTTGCTGAGTTACTTCTTAAGTCTGTTTTCACCAGATGAAATCACGAAGAAATTTAATTAAATATCTACTATGTAAAGCAGTGAAATGTAAGTGTGGAAAAAATGGGAAATGTTTCTAAGCAAACTAAAGTAAATGTCTTTCAAGGACCCAAATAAAAGTGGCTAAAAAAAACAAACAAACAAACACAAGAAAACAGCAGCAATAAACTGCTGAACTGGTGTAGTAGTGTGGGCAAGGAAACTATTAAAAAAGAAAGAAAAAAGGAGGGACTTCCAGTTTCAAAATGGCAGCACAGAAGCAAGCTGGCTTGCTGCCACCACCACTCCTGCCAACAGAAAACCAAAACCAAATGCACACCACAGAGATTATCACCAGAAATATCCCAGATTAGACAAATATGGCAATGACACTGTTCCTAGGACAATAGAGAAGTGAGAAAGAAGGAAAAAGAAGAAAAAGAAACACTAAAAGTCCAGAAGGATTTTGCTTTCAAATTTGTTTTGCACATATTTGTAACGTCTCATTTCACACTAAAGCAATGGAAACTGGAAATTAAGATGGCATGGTTAATGTGAAGAAGGTTCAGGAAACTATAATCAGACCAATATATATGGTCTTACACTAAAAATAATCAGTGTGTGAATATAAGTTATATGGTTTAAGTTAAAAAAAATTTAAGATATGAATTTCTAAAAAATGACTTTTTCAAGTAACTCAGCCACTACTGACCAAGGGCTGATAAAAGGGCTTCTCTCACTGTGGCAACAGAGTAAGTGGGCTTAGCAACACAGGAGAAGTCTTCCTGCTTAAAGACTACTTAGTTACTTAGTTCATAGAAAAAGTCAAAGTGAGAAATAAAAAATAATATGTACTTACCATAAACACTCTCTTCTGATTAAAAACATACATTTAGTAAGTAATTTTAAGTTGCTTAGAAGTATGATTTTTCTTGACATAGTTCTACTTTTTTATTATTACAACATCATCAGCTGCTGATATAATGTAAAACTACAGAGGACAGCTCTAGCCATTGCATGACTGATTTCTGGTTTTAAATTTAATCTCATTTCTTCTTTATCCTCTTCATAGGCTTATCTGTTTGTGTCATGATATATTTGATTTCTCCACCATTTAAAATTTTATTTTTCAACAAAATCGTCATCATGAATCCATTGCTGTTTATTTCTTCCTTGTCAGAACCTTCAATTAGTTTGAGCCCAGATAAAAAGATGTTTTTTGACATCATCTTGTACGTCAAGATTTTGTGTTAAATCTTTCATGTTGAGAATTTCATTCCATGCCATTGCCCCATGGCAAACAATATCTTTGATACTGATATCCTAAATATTCTATAGGACCTATATTTGTTCTTGTTTTCTATTTTCTTCTAAAGTGAAACTCAAACCCTTTTGCCTAAGTGATATATTTAAATATTCCAGAATCCTTTTATCCATCGATCAAATCAAGAATATTATTCTTGGAGGGCCACGGGTAATAGGGAAGGACAAAAACTCGGGCCTTAAAATTCCTATTATGACATAAAGAAAAGTTATCTAGAAAGAGCAGGAGATTCCCAAATAAGTTTTTTCTTCAAGTGTTTCTTTGTCAATGGTACAATTAATGTGAAAAACAACCTTCAATCAAGTCCATGCATGTTGAATTTGTGAGAGATAGTAAACTGATACGGACTAAACATTTTTTAAAAAAGTTCTACTGATTTGCCACTCATGGTAAGTGCCAATTCCTAAGTGGTGGCAGAGGGGTCTTCATGGGCAGGTGGCCTATACAGTTGCTCAGAAGGGCCCCATGGTTGGTTGACTGCTCTGCTGTCATCATCTTGAAATTTCTTTTCATTTTTGCACAAGGGTTCTTGCATTTTCATTTTTCACTGGGCTGTGCAAATTATGTTGCCAGTCCTGACGGATGGGCAACTCTTAGAAGTATTGCTCTGTGTTTCCCCCCACTGATGCTCTAATTTAGCATCGCTGTTTTGGGTGGTAACATCTTTTATAATAAGTTGGACATGTTTCAATATTGCAGAAGTGTTTGCCAATCAAATTTTCTCTACTGATGAACTGAATATTCAGTGAAAAACTGGGTTGTAGAAACTACCTATTGATGCTCCCAAAATCTTGATGTGTTTTCCTGATGTTCAAGCCACGTACCACCCTCTGTAAAAACCCTCAATGTCAACTTCTGATGTAAAACTGAAGCCTGTCCCTTTGAGAATGGGCCCACCTGACTCTATCAATGACACCTCTAATGCTTTGCTTATAATTTCTAGTTTTAGTTTAACTAAAATTCACTTGCCAAGCAGTCTAAGTGCAAAATCCTTCTAGGGTTTCTTTCCTCCTATCTTTCATAGTTGTCTTATCCACCTCAACTTCAACAGAAAAAAAGTTTTAGTAACTCATTCTTTTTAAATTGTCCCAAAGCATTCAGTTTTCAGAGACACGTCCTCTTGATTACCAAACTCATATTTTTGCAGAGTTTTAAATTACAACAAGATCAGCTCACACTCACAGAACCAGGAGCACCCCTGGGCTTTGGTAAGCATGGCCACTCAGCGGTGGCAGCAGAAGGGCTCAGGTATTCTAGAGGGACCCACTAGTAGTGCGTGTCAGTGGGCTTCAGCTGGCTTCCTTCACAGAGGGAAAGGAGGGTGAGGTTTAGTGTGTGGGTTAAGTGGAGAGAGATTAAGAGCTTCCATAATAACAAGAGTAACAGAAACAACACTACACATCTAGAACTTACTGAGTACTCTCTCCAGGCTCCACTGGCCACATCGCAGACACTAGTTTACAGGTGCTCTGCATCTGAGCATTCCAGGTTTGTTGGGTTTTTTTCCCCCTCAATGGACTGACACTGTTTCAAGGATAAAAACTAACAGTCTTCTTTTTCCATGGCTTGTGATAATCCAGACTCACCTGAAAGTGCTCTAATAGTGTCAATGTCATGGTGGCGTTTCAGCCCCTGAAGAGCAGAGGTAAGTGGTGACCACAGGGATGGAGGTACTAATGGATGCTTGAGTACAGGAGGGGCAGACATAGGGTAGGAGAGAGGAGACAGCAAGGGTCCAAAAACTCCCTGGTCTTGTCCCAGCTTGGCCCTCACTAGTGGTGAGAATTTGGAACAAGCCACCTAACAACTCTTCAGATCTGTTTGCATCAATTATCAAGCCATGCTAGCGCGGCAGGGTGAAGCTGCACAGAGCAAATGCATGATACATATTTGTTAAATAGGTAGACAAATGATCACATGAATATCCAGCAGGCTGGTATAAGGATCAAACAAGATAATAGATTTGCAAATGCTTGGGAAATAGCAAAGAATCAGGTGCAATGATGGCATTACTACTCCCAGAAAGTAATACCAGTACTCACAAAACTCCCAAGGACACCAAGAGTCATGAAATATGCTGAGTAGTAATATTTTCTTTCCATCCCTGTCTTGTTGGAGGATCTCAATGCATCTTGAACACTGAAAGGGCACTTTCTCTGGAAATCTAACCAGCTTTTGTTTTCTCTGCTGAAATCATCAATCATCATGACTGCCT